TCAGCATTAAGGTATGATTCTCTGTTTAAAAAAAAACGTAAATACAAAACAGAAACAGACTTATAGACATAGAATACAAACTTGTGGTTGCCAAGGGGGCTGAGGGTGGGAAGGGACAGACTGGAACTTTAAAATGCAGAGTAGATAAACAAGATTATACTGTATAGCACAGGGAAATGTATACAAGATCTTGTGGTAGCTCACAGTGAAAAAAAAATGTGATGATGAATATATATATTTTCATGTATAACTGAAAAATTGTGCTCTACATTGGAATTTGACACAACATTGTAAAATGACTATTACTCAATAAAAAAAGGTATGATTCTCTTTGTTTCCATTATGCTCTAAAAATAAGTGAAACACATAGTATCAAGAAAAATAAGACAATTACTGTGACAGCACTGTAAAAATGCTACACATATTTTCACCAAAGCTTCTGGGCGTAAGATTGAAGTTATAGGATGTCAAAGACACTTGTTGAAAATGCTTTGACTTTGGGCATCCGCTCATTGTTCTGTCTTTGTCAGGAATCTATAACCTGTACTACATAACATGATTTTGCCCTTTGGCAGATTACTAAATGGCCAGTGTTTGGCACCTTGCAACGTTGTCCATCAGCAGTCTTCCCAGAACTTCCAACTCTAACCTCTGGTGAACACGATTGGAAGAATGCTAGTGCTTTCTTTTCATCCAACTTCTAGGAAAGTCGTTTATTGTGCATACTTCTCATGAATATAAGTATTATTTTTTGAACAGAGATTTTAATGTGCAATGCATACTTTTTGGAAATCTGATTTTTCACTTTCATATGGTGTGGATATATATCCGTGTCAGTAGTTACTTGTCTTGGTCATAGTTTTAATGGTTGCATAGTATGCTATTATGTGGACATGGCCACAATAGGATACCACCATAATACATTGATAATAGTTCTTTAACAAACTATTATCAGTGTTTCATTATTTCCAGTTTCTTGCTGTGTGCTCTTATCACATTAATATCACACAACAATTTGCATTTGTTGGTATGCTGCTGTGCCATTCTCTTCAAGCTATGTCAGGATTGTGTGTTTTAGACCTTCAACTGTCAAAAGCATCTTAGAGGCAAGGCCAGTTCTTCCTTCTCTTTTGCTACTTTTTATAGGTCAGTAAAGAGAGTTATTCATAGAGAAAGTGCTCACATGGCTGCTCAGGTGGGTTGGCCCCATCTACTAGGATGACATCCTAATGAAGAGCTGTTTGGAGGTGACCTGAAGATTTTGCACATGTTCAGGGTGGCTGGCCTGTTGAGATGGGAAAGTGGACAGGTTGGAGCAGAGTAGTGGTAGATCCACCGGGTCGGCTGACGTCCCAGGAAGGCTCTAGTCTACTTAACAAAAAGCTTTAGGCAAGCTGCTAAAATTTCAAAGTATGAATCTGCTGGAGCTATCAAGTGAGGGAAGTGGGAAAGAGAAGTCATGGGGTGAAAAGCAGAGCATGTCTTCTGCAAGAGTGAGAACAGGAGCTGCTCTGCACACGTGGGGTCACATCCCATCCATGACTATTGCTCTTGTTGGTTCTCTGTCTACCCAAAGTTCATCTTCAGGCTCAACCTCCCATTCCTTTGTTTCAACTCTTTATTTTCTTGCTCAGTCATCTCCTACAACCAGAATTTAAATGCAGTTACAAACAGTTTTCACAATGAAGTTTGTGTCCCCTCTGCATACCCACTAATCGTTGTAAAATTCACCCACATTGACCCAAACCTTTTCCTTCCCCTAGGTCAAAGCAGCCTTCTGGAGTGACCACCATCCTGTAATCCAACGACAAAAGGTAAACCGCCTGTTCTGTTGATAAAAATGTAAGTCAGGAATAAGTAAATAGAAAAGTCATTTTTAAAATCAATTTTTATTTTGGACATTGAGGTGCTCATTCATTTTATTGAACAAACACAGACCTATGTAACTTAAGTAAATATAAGGTCCCATTCAACAATTAGAGTTTAGAAGTGGCTATTATAGTAATGTCACCCATATAACTTGTTTATTTTGGCAAGATTTGTCTTGGAATACAAACATCCTTAGTATAAAAATGATTCTTCATTTTCTCAGTTGAAATATGATCAGTGTTTTAACCTGCTGTTGGTTAGACACTGCTTTTGTAATCCAGGAGGTCAGAAATCCATTATTTAATTTTTGAAGGGACAGGAGACAGCAATGGGAGAGCACTCTTCCTTCATGCTGCCTTAGCATGTGTGCTGAGCCATCCGTCTCCTGAGGCTTCCTTCTATCTGTCCTGCTGAAATGAAGAAGAGTGGTTAGCACTTACTGAAATTTATGAAATTAGAAGTGGTTCTGAGATCTTTATTATGATCTTTATGGCAGGTGTTATAAGGGGCCTCTTCCATCCTTCAAACTTAGATATGCTAAAAGAGTGTTATCTGTCCTATGTCTTGATAACATATAGAATTGTTTCCCAAAGAAATGGGAAGAAGTCGTGGTCACAGTTGTATCTCTGTTCTCATTATTGAGTTTCTAGACAATTCCAGATTTTAGGGTTGAGTAGCAAGTGTGGTAGCCAGGTCCAAAGACCATTTGCCAATAGTCCATCAACTTGCTGATGGGATGGTACATGGCAGAGGAGGGGACTTGGCTGAAGATCTCTCTGTTAGTTCTCATTCCCTTGTCATGAGTAAAAATCACACATCTAGAACAATATGGCTTCTCCTCTTGGCCATTTAATTTTTATAATTTTACCACGGTTGTAATATGCACTGAATAAAGGCTATTTTATAGCCAGCAGAAGAATTTGGATTAGTGATCAGGAAGTCTCTGGGCACTAACAGAACAAATAAATATCTCTGAACCAACTTTTCAGAGATAACACTAGAAAGAAAATAACAATGGTTGGGGACAGGAATCCAGGTCTGGCATCTAGGAAAGTAAATACAAGGAGGCAAAAAATATGAGAGAAGGATTTTGAACCAATTATCTGCTTCAACAACAGCTGATAGAATATAACATAAATATTTGCTAGCTAACACAGAATTTTTCTCCTATATTCACATATTTAAAGCAGAATATAATGATCTGGGTGGGAGATTGAACTGGAAATTATCTAGGTCCTTTCCAAATGTAAATTTCTGTGATTCCATGGCATTCTTACTTCACTGTGCACCATTCCCTCTTAATTTGCAATCTCCAATTAGCTTTGCAATTACAGTTTTAGTAAAATGCTTCACTGGTCTTCACCTCTGAATGCCTAATACCACTTTACTACAGGCAGCAAAGAGATAAACAGGCACCTTGGTGATAAAGGTACTTGGCCTATGTCAATAATACTAATATGTCATCTTGCAAGAGATTCAGCACTTATTTTAAAGCATCCCATTTGCTTTGTGCACATGCCTTGTACATTACCATCTAGCACACGCATCTCATCTACAGCTTGTAAGATATTTATATTCATGTAGTGGCTGTGTTTTTGAAATACAGAGAATGGCTTTGTGTTATCAATTCTGATTTCCGTAAGTCATCCAAGAAAACTGGTCTCATTACTCCATAGTCCTGTCACATGGATGAATTCTGGTTATCTCCCACATTTTTACTGACTTTTTTCTAGGAAACAGAGTCTATATGGTTCTCAAAAGGATTTGCAGCATATACAAATGTGCATTGTCAAACTCAATCTGCTAATTGAATAGCCAGTTCGCCTATAACTATGTTACTTGGAGTTCACAATATAAGGAAGTGCATGTATTCACCCTCTTATCTCTTCAAATATCTAGGATACGTAAACCCTGAGGAGGCTTGAATCCATTGTATTATCATTCATTCATTGTCTATCAATTTGTACTTGGTCTTTCTATTTCCCCTGGAGAGTTAAACCTTTATAATAATAATTATTATATATTACATTAACATATTATAATTATATTATATGAATTATATAGTAGTTATCTATTAGTATTTATTAATAGCTGCATAATATAATAATTTTTATTATATATTTTATTCTGATTAATATGTGCTAGAGAATTATACTCTGCAAATATGGATTACTTTAAAGATGTGGTAAGATAAATCTCTCTTGCTATTTTAAGAATCACTGGCAAACGGATGGCATTGATGAAATGGTAGGGATTGAAAGTAGACTAACACTGGTTGCCAGGTGATGGTGCGCAAAACAGTCTCCTCTATACTTGCCTAAGATACAGATATCTGGGAATCGCCTCTAGTTTTTCTGCTTCAGGTGATTCAAATGCAATGATTCAAGGACCACATTTTGAAAAATACTGATGTTGTCAGCAGTAAGTGTAATAATAAATTCAAAAAGCAAACACTGTACATATGGGATTTCATCAAGCCTGTGGGTAAAGGTAGATAATTCAAGACAATTTTTTGAGAGTTATTTGTGCAGACATTTCCAGAGTTGACACACTATGACTGGGAATGATTGGGGCGGGAATATGTGCAGTGCATGTTGGTGATGAGGATATGATGGCATATGATACCTACCATGTATTAAACTGTGACCAAATTCTAAGCACTGTGAAGTGGCTTCACATTTAGATATGTCACTTAATTCTCACAAGCCCAAGAGCCCTCACCTCAGAATGAAAGACTGTGTGAAATTAGTTAGCAGCTGCAATCAATAGAGTAAATGTAGATTAAGAACATTAAAAGAACAAAAAGCCAATGAGGCAAAGAGATTAATAATCTGTCTCTATAGCTGTATCTATAAGTGTACCTATGTACCCACTTTCAGAAGGCTACTCACTAGTCGTTCATGTGCATGCTCTATTTTCAGGCTTAATTAGGCTGGGGACGGTTAGGGGAAGAAATTGTCAAAAAAATAAATGCAAAAAGAAAAACCAAGAACCAGAGCAGGGTAAACTGGTTCTCCAAATATAGACTCTTAGGAGTGAAAGGAGGAGTAGCGTGTACCCAGCCAAGTTTCACTTTGGAGGAGAACTCCCAATATAGTGTAACCACCAGGGCAGCTTTGGCAGGACTGTTTGTCATAACCAGCAAAGGGGAGGGTGGAGCCCTTTTTCCTGACAATGAAAACTCTTCACAGAGTTTGGTGAGAACAACATGACCTTACTCCCTAAAAGATCTCAAAATTCAACAGAATTGTAAGTCATGAAAAACATATTATTAACTCTAGTATTTTTTTAAGACTGAAGTTACGTATAACATATCTTTTTATGAAGCTGAGCTATGTAACTTCTGTAACTAAAGTTATCTGAATATAAATCAAAGGGTACGAAGTTTCAGTTATGCAAGATGAATGAATAAATTCTAGAGATTTACAGATAGAATACAGCATAGTGCCTAGAGTAAACAATACTGTATTGCAGACTTAAAAATTTGCTAAGAGGGCAGATTTTATGTTAAATGTTCTTATCACATACACACACAATAATAATAATAATAATAATAATAATAATAATAATAATAATAATAATAATAAAAACAGGAGGAAACATTTGGAGGTGATGAATATGTTTATGGCATCGATTTGAGGTAATAGTTTCATAGACCTATACTTACCACCAAACTCATCAAGTTGCATACATTAAATATTTACAGCAAAAAATAAAAAATAAAAATCAGCTGATCTGGGTCGGGGTGAGGGGAATATGATTTATAATCTGAAAGATACTCTGAAAAAACTCGTGGATCCCAGCCTTCGAGAAGTGAGCAGACTTGTGACATAATTTGGCCATAGTTCTAGCTCTACCACCGCCTGGGGTGAGGCTCATGTGGCCTTTCCCCCTCCAGCTTCCCCACGTGGCAACGCCATGAGAGGCTAGAAGGCCTTGACCTACAGGGTTCTGCCCAACTCCAACAGTCTACACTTTAATTAATTAGCTCATTTGGAGTCTTATTTTCAAAAAGACTTATGTGGCAAGCTATCATGATTTATCTTCCCCAAGAATACTAGCAATGCCCTCAAGCTAGTTTTTAAGCAAAGGTCAGTGGACTATTGAGAGACATAGGGGGAGAAGCTCCGGCTGGCGCACTGACACCATCCTATAGACCACAAGGATGGAAGTAGGCAGGAGGCTGCTTTAATAATCCAGTCTTTGAGCAGGCTGATTCAGCAGAGGCGGTGAGAAGTCATTGGATATATTTTGAAACTATGGCCAGCAGAGTTTGCCTATGGAATGAATGTGGGTCGTTAGAGGGAAAAGAATTCAAAAAATTCTGCCATTTTTGGTCTTAACAACTGAAAGGACAGGAGAATTGATGGAGAATCCTATGTGAGGAGCGGGGCTGGGGAAAATGACAGTTTAGTTCTGCTCATATTAAATGGAACTGCCTACTAGGCATCCAAATTGGATATCTGAATCTAGAGTTCAGGGGAGATGTTTGCACTCGAGATGTAAATTTAGGGGGTGATCATCTCCACATTAATGGTATGTGAAACCACACAACTGGATAAATGCGTCCTAGGGAGAGAGTGTAGCTAGAAAAGGAGGTCCAAGGATCAAGTTCTGTATCACCTCAGTGTTCAGAGGTTGGGGAGGAAGAAGCCGGAAAGAGTGTGAGAAGAGTGACCGGTGAAAAAGGGAAGTCAAGGGAAGAAATAATTTCAAAGAGCAGGGAGTGCCTAAGACAGGTCAGACACTCTTAACATGGTACAGGCTGGAGGAAACCTCACAAACAAGGGGAAAATCCAGTAGCAATGGGAGCTGCTTTATCTGCCCCATCTTCCAGTTAGTTCTTCATACCCTGGGACAGCAAACATAGGAAAGAAGGAAGACTTTTTAATTCGATGTATTCAAAATACAGGTAGGAAGATATCAGTTTGGGTAAAAAAAAAAAAATTATCACCTGCTTCATTCTGCTAGAGAAACATTTGGTAATTTCTTCCAAGAAGAAATTTTATTTTCCTGTGTTTTCAGTGACCTGATGATGGAGTTAGTGGAAACTGTCCAAAGAGCCTACTTTCCAACCGGAAAAATGCACTGTAAAAGGATTTTTTCCAAACTCTCTAAGTGGAAAAAAAAATCCTTCTTTTTTTGTACTTATTATTTGAATGTATTCCTGGATTTCCTTGTAAATAGGATACGTGAAATGAATGAACGAGCTTTAATATAATGTCTGTCCATCAAGGGACACATCCTAGGCTCAGTTTCCCACGGTGCTTTGTGGCAGACCCAGAGCTCTCTGAGGACACCCATCAGCCAGCACCTTTGACACTAAGATCTGTCGTTGAGAACATCTCTCATCTGCTGCCCTCCTTTCAGCTCTGACTACCCCACATCAGGGGTTTGCCAGGTGGTCTGTGAGGTTATCTGTTTTATCCCTTTCTCAGCTGTGGGCAGGAAGCAGCACTGATGCTCCCCAGAAGCTCTATGCGTCTGATTTCCTCACTGGCTCAGTTGCTTTGTCAGGGACAAATAAAATTCTTCCCACTTAGGTCATTGCCACACATCCCTCCTCTATCTGACCCTTTTTGTGTGTGGATTTCAGAGTTACACTTGTGAGCATATTTTTTTAATATTCTCAGCAAGAGTGAGCTCCTTGGTGGCTTTGGGGAGAAGAGGCCCCACTACTGGCCTGAGGTCTTGGAGAAGAGTGATTCATTTAATAACTTTTTATTGAATTTAGTTTCTCTACATGTAGATTATGCCACTAGTTTCCCTAATTATCAGATTTTTCAATTCAATGGGTGTTTAAAAGTCTTGGTTTTCAGTTATGCAGATTGTATGTGTATAGGTGCAAACCATGGGACTCACCCAGTAAAACATGCAGCCTACTATGTTAAGCTGTGTACTGTTTACATGCCATTACCTAGAAACACCTGCTTATCATAACATAACTTAGCATTTTATTCTATTCCCGCAGTCACCTTAGAGGCCATGTATTGGCAGCATGTTGAATGTTTCCTTTTCCTCTTATTTATCACAATTAAGTATTAATTTATAACAATAGAAACAAAATAAATTTTTGTCTTTACTTCCTAAATAGTCCACAACAAACAAGAATTACTGGTGCAAAGAATAAAAAGAAAAAGAAATATACCACCAAACAATTTCCATGGTAAGTGTTTTTTACTTTTTTAATTTTTTTGCTGTTCTTTGTTTAGTGTTATTATTAAAGGAGCATGGATTACATCCCAGTGACTTTTCTAGCTTAATGAGGGATCCTGGGAATATCAGTTCTGGGTGAAGACAACAAGCATAAACAACAAGATCCACGTGAATTTTCCCTAGAATACAAATGTAAAATCCAACCAGTCTGGAAGGCAAAAAGCAACACAGGAGGATGTTTATAAAGGAAGCCATCAATACCCTGTATCTTGGGGTGCCTAAGACATGTCAGGTTGTAGCATTATATTATGGGTCAATCTTCAAGTAAATTTGATTTCTCTGTAGGTGATAGATATGCTCTGAACATAATTCTTACCACTCCAACTTTTTTAAAAATAAGCTTTTTATCTGGAATAATTTTAGGTGTACAGAAAAGCTGCAAAAATAGAACATAGAATTCCTGTGTGCCTTTTACTCAGTTTCCCCAGATGTTAACATCTTTCATAACTATGGTGTATTTGCGATGGTTAAGGTCTTAACCTTGCTGTATTGCTATTGGCTAGATTACAGGCTTCATTTGGATTTAACCAGTGTTTCCACTGATGTTCTTTTTCTTTTCCAGGATTGAATCCAGGCTACCAAACTGTAGCTAAAATTCTAGCTTTTGAGAAAAATTAGGACCAGCGTTTGAGCTACAAAGACCTCAGACCTAATGGATCAGGGACTTAGCTCTGGAATCAGGAACAGTAAATACAAATAACACAGAAATAACTTAAAAGATGTAGCCATGATTATGTTTTACTTCAAGCAGTCTGTATATCTGATGCTACCTTCAGGTTGTCTGGTATGTTCCTTTACTGTCAGAATTTAACAAGGGCTCTTGTAAGTCAAAGTATTGCAAACACTGTTAACTGTGACATATGCCTGGACTTAAGTGCAGGGCAGTATCTCAGAGACTTAGCAGGATCACCTAAATGAAAATGTGTATATTGTATTCTGAGAAATAGTTACCTTCATACATAGGTAGTATCTTATGTAGCTCATTTTCTTTCAGTTTATCCCTCATCCCTTGACCTGTAGCTACAGTAAGCATCACAATGTTTCTTTAGTTCATTCATTCACCCCAAATAGGTATTGAGGACCACTTCGTGCTAAGCACTGGGCTGTCCTCTGTGGACCCATCAGCCTTTTGGATGAACCCAGACAGGAGAGGCAGACCTTATTGCACAGTGGGTAGGTGCTAACAGAGGTCGTCCTAGAGCACCATGGAAACAAGCATAGAAGACGTGCCTGAAGAAGAGGAAGCTCATGCAAAAGACATGGAAGCATGAAGCAGCGTGGCCTTTTGAGTGTTCGTACCCTGCCTGGGAGACAGGGCAGGGACTGGAACTGGATGTGAAGTGGGGCTTGGGATGACAGAGGCCTTGAATGCCATCCAAGGGGTCTGAATTCATCATGAGGTGGATGGGAAACCAATGATCGGATTATGCTTTGGAAAGGTCAGTGCAGGGAATGGATTGCTGGTGGGAAGAATGTGAAGCAGGGAAAGCAGAGGGAACGCTGCTGGTAGTGTGGTTGATGCAAAAAGCTACAAAGCCCTCCTTTCTCTTCTTTACTTGACCAACATCTGAATCATTCATTGAAGAGCAGGTTGAAATGCTACTTCCTCTGAGAAGCCTTTTGCCCCTACTCCTCAGACATACCTACTCACTCCCTCCCATAGCTTTTTGCTTATAACTCAATTATAATATTTATCACTGGGTGTTGAATGGATTGTTTTTTGTGTCTGTCTCCCTACTACAGTGAGCTGCTCTAGGTCAAGGCCCCTGTCTTACTCATCTTGGCATCGTTAACATTTAGGGCAGTACCTGACACAGGGTGTCTGCTCAAATATTTGATGAGTAAGAGGCAGAATAAAAAGTTGCCAGTCATGGATAATATCCTCCCAAACTGAACATTCACCATTAGCCAAATTAATTTGTGCAAAATTCCATGTGCAATCATTTAATTAGTTCAATTGAGGAAACAAGGAAATGAGACTCAATTAAAGAAGAAATTGTAAGTCTTTAAGCAATTGATATAGATTAGGATTGCTTGGTCATGATTAGATAATCAAAATTTGTGAGTTTCAAGTAAGGCAGAGAAATGTTTATGGATGCAAACGTGTTGCAGAATATATTACAAAAATGATGCTGTGTGATTTACCTCAGCTGTATTATATGGACAGAAATTTCTTTAGTTCTGAGGGTTATCAAAGGGAGTGAGCAAAACCTCTGTTGCTGCTGAGTGCTAACTGATTTTCTGGGAAAAGAACTTGATTCAGCCTATTTGAATCTCCGTTGCCTAATTTATAAATAGTCACTTGAACCAGGGGTCACAAACTCAAATGCATATGGGGGCCACGCATGTGGCAGAAATGGACAAAGGAAGCTGATGCAATAAACTAGGATGTTGAGAAGACTTGAGAACTAGAATCATGCCTGACTCATCTCAAAGTGACGGCCCTTACTCTGTTTCAACAGATTGACATGCTGACATTGCTGACATGCAAGGCCAGTTTTTAGCTCTAATTTCTAATTATTTACAAGAAAGCCAAATGTCTCAAATTTTTAATAGAAACTGTAGGTTTATACTGATGATACATTTAAAAATAATTGATCCTGTTATAGGTGAACCCTCTTCCAGCAACAACAGCACAGGTTGCTTTGGACTAACCCTTCTGCTGAGAGCAGCTGGAGGAGCTGGACTAAATAC